CCTTTGAGAAATATTCTCAGCTGATGCCTGGAATTCCATTATCCAAGTTTCCTCTTGGCTTAAGTCCTCTAATACCTGTCCTAATCCAAAATCCTCCAAAACAAGTGCAGATATTAAGTTATAAGTAAGTCAAGCCTCTGGCGAATGTCTATTTGAGGAAGGTTTGGACCAGAGAATTGAGAGGAAATAGAAAGCTAAAGTCCTCACATTGTGACAAAGTTGAGAAGACCAGGAAGCAGGTCCCTTTCATTGTTTTGCTCTATGTTTACAAATAATTGACAAAGTAAAAAAAAATGACTCCAGTTAAAAATTAATGCTATCTTCCCAAATGGTGGTTCTTGGTTACATATTTGCCCAGAAAAAAAACAATCCCCAAGGAAAATGTGGGCACCTAAAGACAAGACAAGAGTCTTGTCTTATGGGCAGCATTTGGAGAAGGCAAGGAAGGTAACATTTGAATGATTAGTATATCATTTGAATGATTTTATTTTGCTGGTAAGTTTATGTCATTCTTTTAAATCCTCTAAATTAACCCATGATTCAAGGATCGTTATTATTCCCACATAAAAAACAAACAAACACAAAGCAACTGAGAAGTTAAGACACTTGTCTCAGGTTGCACAGCTGGTCAGGCAGACGTGGGTCTTCCTGACATGAGAGTTCTGTTTCTGTCCCATTCTGCCTCACCAGAGCAGAAAGCTCAAATTCTGCTGTTTTCAAGAAGCGTAGAGATGTCCTCTCGCATGGGTACCAGACATATAACTTCTCACTAATGTATCTACTGGGCTAGCTGAGCAGCCAAGGAGCAAATGTTATGGAGCAAAGAGGAGCTATTATTCTGAGGAGCCAGGGAAAACACTCCCCTTTGAAATCCACAGGAGCATTGCATGACCAAATGTGCAGAAACAAATCTCTATTGGCTCACGGCTTGGAGAAATCGGTCATGCCATTGGCTGTTCAGTGTTGGGGTTGGGGAATAAAAGCCTTCTGTGGAAAGCCAGGGTGAGTGCAAAGCCATGAAGCCTAGTCATGAAGGCTCTGGAGCAGGGGTCCTCAAACTTTTTAAACAGGGGGCCAGTTCACTGTCCCTCAGACCGTTGGAGGGCCGGACTATAGTAAAAAAAAAACCTATGAACAAATTCCTATGCACACTGCACATATCTTATTTTGAAGTAAAAAAACAAAACGGGAACAAATACAATATTTGTATTTGCATGTGGCCCGCGGGCTGTAGTTTGAGGACCCCTGCTCTGGAGTCTTCGAGTTGAGCTTGTGTGTTTCTCTTCCACTTAGGAAGAGACTCGACCCCTCTGAACCTCAACTTCCTCGCCTGTAAAATGGAGATCGTGGTTAAATAAGATGGTGCGTCAAATGCCTGAAGTATAGGAAATGCTCAAAAACATTATCATTTTTTTATTTTGCCCGCCCCCCGCCTCTCTCTTTGAAAGTCACAATCCAAAAATCTATTTTATACAAAAATTAACATAAAGAGAAAGGAGATATCAAAGCCACTCACACAAGCTTGCCTTTTCACATGTATATGGGCACCTGTTGGATTGTGTTAGACACATGTCAGATGTCCCGGATAAAGCTTTGGAATGTGGGGACAGCTTTGAACATGGCCAAGCAGGGAGACAAGGCCAAGTGAAATTCTGTGCCTTTTACCCTGAGCAACGCAGACAGAATAACAAGAACAAAGTCATGTTTTACTTGGTGTCTCTCTTTCTGGTGGCTTTTGTGTGGTTTCCTTGGAAGGTTTTACCCTGGTATTTTTCAGAAATAGCACCGTTATTTGGGATGATTACAGGCAATCACCATTTCCCAGAGAAGGAACTATGTTTAGCTCGCTGACCGGCGGCTCCCCGGTACCCAGCTGGGGAAAGGTACAGCTGACCTGTTGTTTACCACGTATCAGGTCTTGTAAGCTCCAGGAAGAATGGCCCGGGGGCCTTTTGGAAAGACTGACCAAGAAGGATGGCTTGTGAGGGGGGGACCCACGCTCTCATTTGAGAACCAGAGTGAGTTTTGACAGTGGAACATCAACCCATCCAAGAGAAGAGCAAGCCTGATAGCAGGCTCACCTGACAGATGGTGAAGGCACAAATGTCTCTTAAAATCCATGTTTGAAATCAATGAGCATTAAGAAATCAAAGGAGATCATCTGAGTTCAGAGGAGAAGTCTTTCTTGGAAATCTTGAAGCCACACTGTCCAGTAAAGTAGCCACCAGCCATGCGTGACTACTGGGCACCGGAAATGTGGCAGGTCCGAGTTGAGATGTGTTATAAAATACATGATTTCACAGACTTAGTATAAAAAAGTGATATAGCTCATTAATTTTTTGTGGTGATTCCAGATGGAAGTGATAATATTTTAAGTATATGGGTTAAACAGAATATATTCTTAAAATTAATTGTACTTGGTTATTTGGGTGTTTTTTTTTGCCTTTTTTAGTGTGGTTACTAGAAATTTTAAATACATATTTGGCTCACATTAAGTTCCTGTCCAACAGTGGGACTTTAGAATTTCATGTATAATTTTTATCCCTATTCATAACTCCAGTTACCATTTACCTCCACTCATACCCTAGTTATGATGATCTCAGGCTACTGAGACCAACACTTATCCAGAACTTTTCCACCCCAGGGCTTTCTGCTCTTACCATTCACTCTCCCGAGGCTGCTCACTCCCCAGACCTTCTCATGTCTGACTCCTTTCTCAGCTTTCTGATCTTTTCTCAAATGCCCTCCCTGTAGAAAGGCCTGCCCTGACCACACGTTGAGCACATCAATCTGTTCTATTGTCTTTATAGCACTTGTTGGTATTGATTGCCTTCCCAACTAGACTGTGAGCTCCATGAGAAAGTCTACTGTGTTCGTCTCTCTGTTACTGCCTTCAGAACAGTGCCCAGCTCATTGCTGGCCTGCAATAAATATTTCCTGAATGGCTAAATGCATTAGCCTTAAATCTGATGGAGACTGGCTTCTATTCTCAGAAAACACAGGACTAAGTGAGTTCCAAGGACAAAAATGTCTGCAAATGGAGCCATCATATTATTGCCATGAGCCCTTTGTTGCATTTCACTGTGTGTACTGCTAAGGAAATAACCCAACAGAGATAGAAAAAACAAGATAACCTCAAAGCTTAGACACAATGTTTACTGGTAGCAAAATGGCTGTTGAAAGGACTGCTCCTTTGTACTCTTCTGTTTTTTAAAAAAAAACATTCCAAAGACTGTGATTATGGGTAGGATCAGGGCATATATTTCTAGCTGTGGAAGACCCTAAGTGAAAAGATAGTCTGAGTCCAGGGCACATGTTTACAGAGGCTTTTATAGGGACACTGACCTCTTCATACAATGCTAGATTACAACGTGGCTGTAGACCACTGCATGGAGCAGATGCTCGTTTTTGTTTGTATATATCCTATAAATGTGTGTGGGAAAGACAAATGCATTCCAAATGGTTAACCTTGACTGCTTCAGGATTGTGGAGAGGGTAGGATAATAAGACACTATAAATAGTTTCTTCATAGACCTTCATGTTGTTTTATTTCTTGAAATGACCATGGAGAGATTTTTGTACTTTCGAAAATAAATAAAGTAGATTTTAGAAAGAAAATTTAAACAGAAATACCAGAAAGCTTCCCTGTACTTGATAGGAGGCACTTCTCACATTTTGACTTTTTTTTTTAATTAGTTCTGTGCCTCAGCTACTAAATAAAGTACAGGCCAGCAAACAATCTGGGTATCAAAAAATGAGAGGTAAAGACTGATCTCACTTCTGGCCAATTTGATGATGCCATGGCTGTCTGAATACCACCAGCCGAGTGCACTCATATATCACAACTCTCTTGTCATAGGACTTCCTGAACCTCTTTAATTGAGAGGGTATCCTTTATTGAGGGCAACTATTATAAACAATGTAATTACACCTTTTTTTCCTAATCAACCCTTAAAAGGTAGGCGTTATTATTCTCACTTATCAGATATGGAGATTGAAGTTTAGGGAGGTTGGTAAATTTTCCAAGATCATGAAGCTAGTTAGAATCAGAGCTCAACTTTGAACCTAGTCCTTTCCAAGCTTTTACCTAGTTCACCACCACTTGTCTCTTTGTAAGGGATGAGGTGTAATGAAGTGTTTGTCTACTGGTTCCACAGATGAATTAAACTTTAATTTCAACAGAAGCCTAATTCTAGGCTCCTGTGAAAGGTTTCTGATCTCAAAAAGCTTTTCCCTAACTGGCCTTCCATGAGCCCAATAGTCCATTAATAGAATCTGTCCTATTGGGTAACATCCCCTGGGATCCACTCTCCAAGGACAAGGACCCTCACAAACAGGTAACATGTAACATCATTATAAGTCATGAAGACCATCGTGTGAATTTGTTTTCAAGGAAATATATCTAACAAGTTTCTAAATGAAAGAGACAAATGGGCCGGTAAGATTTTCTGGGGGTGTGGTGAAGGGTTAGAGTTATAGAGCAGATTCAGGAACATGCTACAGGGCTGTCATTGTGGGACTGGGACAACTAAGGGACACGGAGAAGCCAGATGTAGAACAGAAAGATACCACTAAAGGTATATATACATCACCATCCAGATCAGGCCTGAGCTAATTACTGACTTAATAAGGCTATGGATAGACACAAAGCAGAGAAAACTGGCACATGTGTGGCTGGTTTCCCATAGACTGTGCTACGCATCCCAGGTTCAAGTTCTGCAAATGCTGCTGTTTGTCACAAGCTCACAGAAATGTAAGACACCATGCTCCATGAGTGGAAAGAATCAGTCACCTCAAGAAGACGATTCAAAGAGCATGTTCTCCTAGGACTCTGCTCAGTGTCCTTCTCAGACAATGAGGCCAAGGAGTCGCTTCTGGATATTTGGAGGGTTGGTTTACAAACCTAATGGATCTTACCTAGTAATGGATTTCCGGAAGTAACTTGGATAAAAATATTGTCTCCTCTCTTTTTAAATGGGGTGTGCTTTCCCCTCCCACAGAAAAAGCGCACCTTGAAGGGCTCTATTGAACTCTCCAGGATCAAATGTGTCGAGATTGTGAAAAGTGACATTAGCATCCCTTGCCACTACAAGTATCCTTTTCAGGTAAGTCATCGTGCCTGAGGGCACCAGTTCCTCATACCTTATATATGATGGTTGAAAGTCTCAGTCATTGTAACAGAAGATGAGACAGGGATGACTCTGGTCTAGCATTAGAACTTAGACAAACGGCAGGGAAAAAGCTGCTGTGTTGTCGATCAATTACACTTTCATTCATTCATTCAACAAAGATGACAAATGACAAAATCTTGAAAAAAATGTCATTCCTCATTCTCCTTTTCCTTATGTCTTTCCTACCTCAAGGAAAGTCGTGGGGGGAGGAAAAAAAACTAGCAAGGGCCCCAAGCCTAATGTTCTTTAAGTGCAGTTTAGTCATGACTTGGGGTGACCAATTGCAACTTTTGGTTAGCAATTGCTTGAGGGTGCTGAGGTTAAAAGGGATCAGATTTTACTATCTGAGAACTAGCCGGCATTATGCTGTCCAATACAGTAGCCACTAGCCACATCTGATTGTTTACATTTAAATGTGAATTTATTTAAATTAAACTATTAAAAATTCAGCTCTGAGTCACATTGGACACATTGAATGAATGAACATTTTACATGTTCAATAGCCACACATGGCTAGTAGCCACAGATGATAGAATATTGCAATCACTGCAGAAAGTTCTATTGGAAGAGCTTTCTGTCCAGGTGATAGAAAGTTCTATAGGGCAGAGCAGGTGGAGGGTATCTTTAGCCTTTAGGTCATGATATTGCCTACATCTTATTACTACTCTTGGCATTTGTAGCTCTCCAGGAGTGGATAACTCCTTGAACATCCTTGGGTATCATTCTTGTTTGACAATCTGGGTGGCATGAAAAAAGACTTTTGTCATACTAGAAAGGTGACTTCCATGGGGTTGGAATTTTTAGGGCTAAAAGTAAAAGGAATAACGTGTATTTTCCTGTCATTAAAATTCCAATTACAAGTGAGTGCAAGACAAAAACCGGTAAAATTCAAAGAAGTTCTGTAGTTTACTTAATAGTTTTGTACCAGGGTCAATTTCCTGGTTTTGAAAATGTGCTGTGATTACATAAAAGGTTGTCATTGGGGAAAGGTGGGTGCAAAGTACATAGGAACTCTGTACTATTTTTGGAACTTCTTGGGTGTCTTACATTGTTTCAAAATGAGAAGTTCTTAAAATCCCAATTAAACATTTGTCATCTACTAAGGTAATATCTTACTCTTTCATATGCCAGAAAGACTTTCTTTCCTGAAAAATTAACATGAGAAATAAAGGTGCTATGAAGAGAACTCTTTCTTCAGCTGTTTTAATTTAGTGATGGCTTACCTGGTGACAAGCAGCCTAAGCTGAGGAGGTTCACGCCGTGTCTGCACAGCACCCCAAAGTCTGAATGAAAAGGACACTGGTCCTCCGATCATCCAGAGTTTGCTTTTTTGACAACAAACACTGAGACCCCATTCTTAGCCCAGGAAGCCAGATGGGCCTGCTGTCAGTCATCCATCTCCAGGCACATCACTCACCTTGAACTCTGTGTGTGTCTCCAGGTTGTGCATGACAACTACCTCCTGTATGTGTTTGCTCCAGACCGTGAGAGCCGGCAGCGCTGGGTGTTGGCCCTTAAAGAAGGTAATTAACCTCCTGTGTGACCGGGTCCTGAGATCCCTTGATCCTCTAGCAGGCTTGGGTTCCACAGTAGAATAAAGGGCAGCTGAGGCTCAAACATTTCTTCCTTTTGGTGTTGCTGGGAGGTCCGAACCTTTCACTCTGGGCCCAAATGGTAACAACCAGTATAGTGCAGGGTCAGAAAATCCAGCCCACCACTGGTTTTTGGTTTAAGGTTCCAAGCTAAGGATAATTTTTTTTAATGGTTTCATTTTAAAGGGTTATATAAGTACCTACATAATATATCAAATCTGCCTGCTGATGAGCAACCTAAAATATTTACTATCTGGCCCTTTAAGAAAAAAATTTGCTGCCTCCTGGTTCGGGGTGAAGAATAAGAGCATGGACCCTCCAGTTAGATGACCTGGACTTGTGTCCTGGCTCTGCCACTTGCTAGCCATGTGTGCCTGAGCAACTTCCTCCACTGCTCTGTGCTTCAGTTTCCCCATCTATTTTTAAAAGGGGGTGTAGGAGGGAATAATAATAGTGCCTGCCTTCAGAACTGCTGTGAGTAAAGCCCTTGGAGCTAGCTGGCCCAGAGTGAGCGCCCAATAAATGTTAACTAGCTTTAAACGCTGTCAGACCAGCAGCGAGGGTATTTCTTAAGGCTCACCTTTCTGAAAGCATAATTAGAACCAGCACAGCATTTGGGTCCATGCGATGTGGAGCCAGGCTGCTAAGGTGAAAATCCCAGCTCTGCCAATTATTAGTGTGTGACTTGGAGCAAGTTCCTTGACCTTTCGTTGTCTCCATTTCTCAGCTGTGAATTCTGACTGGTAACACCCATAAGGTTATTGTGAGAATTAAATGGCTTAGGACATGTCAGATGCATAGGACAAAACCAAAAGGAAGCACGCAATCGGTGTTTCTATTATTACTATTATTTAGCTTGAAGCCCTGGTTTTACAGGAGAATGGGGTTCAATTATTAATCTGTCTCTAAGTAGCTATGGGGACTCATGGTAAGCAAGCCATTGGAAATCTCAGGAGCCACAATGCCCCTATCTGAAAAATGAGAATAAAAATGTAGGTCTTGTCTTCTCCCAAGGTTAGTGTGAGTCTCAACTGGTATATGAACAGGCAAGTGCTGGCTGGGTAAATTGGAAAGTGCTCTCAAGTATAACAGCCACAGAACAAACATGAGAAGTAATCAAAAGGGCTCAAACGGTGATCATTGCCCTTCTCCCTCTGGGAGAGGCTTTTACTCATAGGATGCTAAAACTAGGAGAAGCATGAAAGACAGTCTATCTAGTTCTCCAGCTTTTATACTGTGGTGTGTTTTTTTCAGCAGTAGAGTCTTCCCCCCACCTCACCATAACCTTACTTTAAAGCCACAGATCTAGAAGGGATAAAAGCAAAGTTGCTGTGGTTGGAAGTGGGAGAGATAGAAAGGGGGAATCCCAACTACTCAGTCTTCCCATTACCCTAAGGCAGTGGTCGGCAAACTGCGGCCCCTTGAGTGTGGCTCTTCCACAAAATACTACCTGCGTACAGTGCGATTGAAACTTCGTGGCCACACTGAAGGGGCCAAAGAGCCGCATGTGGCTCGCGAGCCGCAGTTTGCCGACCACTGCCCTAAGGCACTTTGTGGGGCCCACTGAACCAGTCTAACAACCTCATTGTACACTGGGGAAACTGAGGCTCGGACAAGGGTTTTGCCCAACCTAAGGACATATAACTAACCCAAGACAGAGCCAGAGATCTGCTGATACAACATGCACTCCTGCATATATGTATATGCCTGGGAAAAGGGACATTTTTCTGACTATTCTGAGTACTAGTCACTCAGTTCACACAGGTGGGTCCAATCTCAAGGCGTTATCAAGTTAGTAGTCCTCCATAGACTGATCTGGAAATAACTCTTCTGCTGGTGCCAACCCCTTTCAGAAACGAGGAATAATAACAGTTTGGTGTCCAAGTATCATCCTAATTTCTGGATGGATGGGAGATGGAGGTGCTGTGCTCAGCTGGAGAAGCTTGCAGTGGGCTGTGCCCAGTACGATCCAACCAAAAATGGTAAGACACTGGGAATTCCCTTTCTCCTTTGTAAAATGCATGACCTCGCTATTGGTAGGAAGTAAGAGCTCTCAGCTTCTCCGACATCAGGGGTGTCGGAGACTGGATGCAAAATTCTACATTTTTAGAAATTTCAGAGGAAAATCACCTGCCTCCACTATCGGTCTGTTGATTTTTTCCATCTCTATACCTCCTCCTACTCAAAGGGTGGTCCTTGGATCACCTGAGAGCTAGTTAGAAATGCAAATTCTCTGGCCCTATCCCAGGTCTTCTGGATCAGAATTTGTATTTTAACAAAATCCCCAGGAGATTAATATGCACAGTAATGTTTGAGAAGCACTGCTATAACTTTCAAGTTAGCAAATTTGAATGGCATGGTCTACTTAAATCTTAAATTTTAGGAACACCTTAAGAGGTATATAATATTTTTTATTCTTGTTTAAAGTATTACATATGTCTCCTTTTTCCCACATTGACCCCTCCCAGGCCACTCTCACTTCCCCCAGGACACGCCCCCACCGCCCCAGTGTCCGTGACCATTGGTTATGCTAATATGCATGCACACAAGTCCTTTGGTTGATCTCTTACCTCCCCCCATTATATTTATTTTTTTATAGAGTCATCACATCACACAAGTATTAATTACACAAGTTCAACTCTATACACTTGGAGAGGGAAGAAAGTAAAAACAAAACAACTGCTTATTTTGCTCTCTGGCTCCTCCCCACTTCCCCTTCAGACTTGCCCTGGCCCTCCACAATGTCAGAGAAAAGGAGGCCACAGCTTACATGCAAAGTGAAAACAAAAGAAACTGTTGTTTGGCCTGCGAGGTCAAGGGCTCAGATCCTGGGGATGGGGGTGCAACTCGATTTTACTTTATGTGATGACTTGGAGACCTGAACCCCCAATAAAGTGCGGCTCCACTCTGATGCACTTTTATATGCAATATGCTCCCGTTCCTGGGGTAGAGGATGTGATGTTAAAGAAAGAGGGGACTGAGGGGTTCAGGATACTCAAGGTCACACAGCTAGGAAGTGTTCTGCAAAGCCATTGTTGAATAGGAATGATGGAATTTTTTGCTCCCATTCCCCTCACCTCTCAACCTCTTAGCCCAATTACCTTTTCTCATCTGTCAATTTTTTTTTTTTGCACTAAAACCTAATACCTCAGATTGACAACTCAAGGCGGATGTGTTAAATGTGACACATGGCTGGATTTTCCGTGGCTTCCTGAGTCATAGTCCATTTTAGTACCAGTTTAAAAAACACTGCTTCTCACCCTCCACCTTGGAAGAGAAAGTTCAAGGTTACCAGTCCCTTGGCCCAGAAGAATACTGTTTATCTAATTTTAGAAATCAATGATCCTCTGCATTAGCCCTGTTGACCATACTCATGAAGATGATGAGTATTGAATGAAAAGGAAATGGAAGGTTTTATATGGGTGGAATTGACCACAATGACAGGGTGGCATGGGCTGGCCTCAGGGAGTGAAAACCCTTCCCAAAGCCAGAAATCTGGTGTCCAAATTCCTGCCAGCACCTTGCTGTGGGCCCCCAGATGAGTCACTTGGCCATTGAAGGACCCTAACATCTTTATCTCTGAAATGGTCAGGGAAGCTTTAGGGGGCCTAAGATGAAATATTCTCTAAGCCCCTTTCCATTTTTGAAATTCTTTGAATCTGTGTTTCCATTTGCTGTTTCCACCATGCATGTCACAGCTGTATCGCTTCAGGGTGAGCAGTGTTTCCCTCCACTGAGTGGTGGACACGTGACTGAGGTGTGAGAACCATCGGAATGACTCACCAGATGACACCTGGGGAGCTGGTCATGCTGAGCTTCTCCCCACTTGAACCCAGGGCAGTCACTTTGCCAATGGTCCTGCTTCTGCATGGCCACCTAGATCATGTCCCCACCTGACCATGCTTTCTTTATACTCTTTTAGACTTGTTTTAAATAGCTATGCACCACGGCTTTGACAGAGCTAATAGAAGAATCTGAGAACATACCACGCTGTGCACACAGCACATGATCATTAGCTTTGGGCGAAGTCTCATAGGATTCCTGTGTTGGGCACACATACAGGGAAGGGTCCAATTCCACAGACCTCTGGGGTGAAAAACACTTGGGGGTGAGTCCCAGCCCCATCACTTCCTTGCTATGTGACTTCACATATGTTACTTAACATATCTGCATCTCTCTGAGTCAGTTTTCTCATCTGTAAAATGGGGACAATGATTATAAGTAGCTACTTTGTGGGGTTGTTGGGAGACTTGGGTTATGCAAAGCTCTTAGCACAGCTTCTGGCACTTACTGAGCTCTCCATAAGTGGCCATTGTGTCTACTAGTCTTTCTTATCTGTGGACAGAAGAATGAAGCTGAGATATAGCAGTATGTGTATGTATGTCTGGGAAGCAGGAGAGGTGATTGAGTAAAAATGGACCCTGCTGTACCCAACCCACAGCAACACTTATTTTTGCAACCAGAACTGGCCTTGATCTCACCACATACCAACTTCACACAGAGGGCAAGGAAGGAAGGGAAGAACAAGGCCAGAGGAAGAATGAGATCAGTCACAGAATGTTCAGGGCCAGAAGGGCCCAAGGCCACACAGCTGGTATGTGGTGGAGCTGGGGTGAGAATGCCAGTCTCCTGGCTCCAAGTTCAATGCTGAGTAAGAAGCATGCTTTCTATTATGTTAGTTTTCCCTCTTCTCTGTGAATTGCATACCCAATACCCAACCCTGCCCTTGCTCAAGGAGTTAGCACAAAAGGAGGTGAACCTCCTCTTACCACATCCCTGACACAGGCTGTCCAACATCAAGTCAGCCTCATGCAGAGATGAGGAACTCACCACCTACTTATGCAGCCCAGTCCCCTCTTATCTCTGATTGTTAGAGAAATCTTTGAATTGAGCAAAAGCCTGTGAACGGCCTCTTATATGCCACCCATACATGCACACTTGGTCCATGGATTCCAGGCCTGACTTTCCAGGGTTTCAAAAGAGAAATACTGAGAGATGGGGAAATAGATGAAAAGAGAGAGGAAGAAAGAGAAAGAAGAGAGAAGAAAGGAGGACAGAAGGAATGGAGAGAGGAGAGATCAAGAAAGGTGTTGGTGTGTGCTGTGTGGAGGAGGCAGCAAAAACACATACTCAGAGGCCCTAAGGCAACTAAAAGTGGATTTCAGCCTTGGTGGCCGCCCCCTCTCCCACCTCCTCCTCTAGCCCACAACAGCATCAGGAAGCCAGTGAGTCACTGTCCCCCTGAGTCAGCCATTCCCACTCCTGGGCTTAGCAGGTGCCATCGTGGAAGTCTCCAGGAAGGACACAAGCCTAATCCCTGTCACAACCTTGGGGTTAGGCTTTGCCTGGGAACACAGAAAAAGAGGCCTGGAATATTGGCTTCCAGAAGTTCCTGTTGTCTCCTAGAATGACACGGCGAACCAGCAGGCTGAGGGAGATACAACAGAGGTTGTACCAGGGTCGATCTTTGTATTTCTGTGTCTCACCGGCTCTTTCTGCCCCTTTCTCCTGCTGTTCTCCTCAAAGAGGGCCCCTTTTCTCTGAAAAGCCCCCGACGGCTCACCTCCGGTTGGGGATGTTCAGTTTTAGGCTCATTTTCTTTTTCTGTTTTTCTCGTTTCAGCTTCAAAGAAGCCTCTTCCTCCTACTCCTGAAGACAACAGGGTGAGTGAAACCTTTAGCGCCGAGTGAGGGTGGGCCCACTGCTGCGGGCTGCTTGACTGGCATGCTCCCACCTTCATTTTTCCTGCGTGCCCAGATTCCTCAGACCCTCTGTGAAGGCAATACCAGTAGAGTGTCGTGCTTCAGCTGAACTCAGCACACTGGGTTTCTTGGGCCTGAACTATCTCTTGGGTCTGTCCATGTAAATGGGCCACTGATCTGCTAAAGCTTCACCTCACTTTGTCCACTCAACAAACACTTACTGTATTAAATGGTGTGTCCAGCCACCTGACCACTTTGGAGTATAATAACCGCTCACATCTACGTAAACTTGCATATTTACTCTATGTAAAATTGCATATTCGTTCTACATAAAGGCACTTTGGAAGCATATACTTGATATTACTTTATATTTTTCAAAGCACTTCCACACTTTTACTAGTTCAAAATTCACTAGGAGTTCTAGCTGCTCAAGAGAGGTAGTGCTTTATTCTCTTCCTAACGCTTGGGAAATCAAGTCCCAAGAGACGTTTTGGGACTCTCCCAAGGCCATTCAGACACTTGGGAGTCAAACCAGTAGGCTGCAGAGTTTCTGGTGGGGTGGTCTCTAATTTGAGTGGTGGTTCTCAAAGTTTGGTCCATGGACCAGCGGCATCAACATCACTTGGGAGCTTGTTAGAAATTCAATGCGGACTCTCAGGCTCCACCCCAGACCTACTGCATCAAAACCCTGGGGAAGAGGCCCAGCAATCTGCATTTTAATAAATCTCCAGGTGAGTCTGAGGCACACTGAAGTTTGAGAAACACTGGCCAAGATTTCAGTGATATTGAGTCAACTCTGGAGAAGCTATTTAGTCAAGAAGACCAAAAAAAAGGAGAAAGATCAGCCTGCCCCTTATGATCATATCAATACCAAATACCACATTTTAGTACTTGCCCTTTAATTCCAGAACCTACTGATTCTGCTTCCTCACTGCTCTTCCCAAAGGATGAGCTCTGCTGCTTCCCTCCACATGGTGACATTTCAGAAACTGGCAGCGTCCTCATAAGAGAAGTTTTGAATCGCTCAAAACCTCAGGCTGGTTTTTAGATCTGTGTCATCAGCCTCATCCCTCACAACAGGAAAGCAGTGTGTTAGGTTGTAGCAGAAAATGAGCTCTTCTCCCTCGTTTTTTCATTGATCTTCTAAAAATATTTCACCACATCTCTTGAAGACATGGTTCAGAATCTCACCACCCTGGCACGCAGATGGTTTCCCCCACAGTCTCATCTATACCCACACGTCTTAAGCTAGTTTGCCCTTGTCTTATTTTCACTATCCATGAAGTTGAAGGCCAGAAAACACTGCCCACCCCTCTCTCCTTGGATTCTGCCACTTGGCTCTTGAAGACTTTTCAGAGCACAGGGCCTTTGCAGTCGTTGTTCTACTTTCAACCACAGGTTTAAATCCATTGCAACATGTCTTACCTTGAACCACTTGAATTTATTTCTCCCTTCACTTATGTGCTCTGTCACCTAATGGGTGACAGCACCTCGAATGGGCATCTAGAGGTGCTATATGTATTGTTAATCCAGTCTGAGCTAACAAGCCTGATGTTCTGTGTGAGAGAGACCGTGGAACAGTCATATCCCGCCTTTACCTTCAAATGCCCTTGACACAACTCCTTCTTCTTAGGGCAAAAGCCTCAGGCCCATCAACTCTACTTCAAGGAACCCAATGTACCACCTCACAAGCTTCATAAATAGCTAGGCTTCAAATTCCATTCTGGACACAGCTGGGATCACACACACAAAAAAAGTCTTTTTTTTTTCTTTTAAGCTCTAGTATTTTTATGCTATCAAATACTTCAAGGACTCGGAGAATTTTTGACTTTTATAACAACAAATCTCGTTCTAGCCAATAATCGCAATCTCTTCCCGAATTTAATCTCTCACTAAATCTGCCAGCCCGCAGCATATGTGCCCATCCTGGACTTGTCAGCCTTACAGTCTCTTCTTCATGTCCTCAATCTCTCATCCTAAGAAAGGTATTAAAAAGTAGAGACAGACCTGACTGGTTTGGCTCAGTGGATAGAGTGTCGGCCTGCAGACTGAAGGGTCCCAGGTTCGATTCCGGTCAAGGGCATGTTCCTTGGTTGTGGGCACATTCCCAGTAGGGGTTGTGCAGGAGGCAGCTGATCAATGCTTCTCTCTCATCGATGTTTCTAATTCTCTATCCCTCTCCCTTCCTCTCTGTAAAAAATCAACAAATATATATATTTTTAAAAAGTAGAGACATAGGCAACAGAGCCCACAAGAAGGGAGCCCGTGTACTATAGTGGAAAGAGCATTAAGACTAATTCAAGTGCTAAACTGAGTACATCCATTACTCCATCTGGGCCTCAGTTTCCCCATTCTAAACAAAAGAGTGAATTGCATGACCTCTAAGAGGAATTCCAGCTTATGATTCTATGGATCTGGACAAACCCACAAATCAAATCAGAGAAGCATGGACTAAACGATTTAGTGTTGGCTGTATCACCTTCACCAAGAATGTCATGCTTCCAGCAGAGAGGCTGCAACATGTGACATGGTACAAATGGAGAAATCAGCAGGCTTTTGTGAAATGTGAGTGGCTACTTGGAATTCACTGTGGTCGGAATTCACCTCGTAGAATGGGAGGGGTGATGAATTCCAGGTATTGAATGTCCTTGTGTCATATTCAGTACCGTGATCCTAACACATAAAGAGAGACAACTAGAGAAAGGCAATTGTCTCAGAGAATACCCCAGTGGATTTTCGGAACTGGTGTTTGACCTGGCATCCTCCCAGGAGCAAGTTATAACTCAGGGACTTGCTGACCTCGCTCTGCAGTTTACCTCCTTCCTACATCTTTGTTTGATTTTGTCTTCTTCCTCCAGCGATCACTTCAGGAGCATGAAGAAACCCTGGTCATTGCCTTGTATGACTACCAAACGAACGATCCTCAGGAACTCACGCTACAGCGCAATGACGAGTACTAATGTCCTTGTATATTCAGTACCGTGATCCTAACACATAAAGAGAGACAACTAGAGAAAGGCAATTGTCTCAGAGAATACCCCAGTGGATTTTCGGAACTGGTGTTTGACCTGGCATCCTCCCAGGAGCAAGTTATAACTCAGGGACTTGCTGACCTCGCTCTGCAGTTTACCTCCTTCCTACATCTTTGTTTGATTTTGTCTTCTTCCTCCAGCGATCACTTCAGGAGCATGAAGAAACCCTGGTCATTGCCTTGTATGACTACCAAACGAACGATCCTCAGGAACTCACGCTACAGCGCAATGACGAGTACTACCTGCTGGACAGCTCTGAGATTCACTGGTGGAGAGTTCAAGACAAGAATGGGTAAGGCCTCTCTGTGGCTGCTGTCCAGTGTTTGAAGTGAGGTGGGAACAAATACTGGGTAGTTTGTCCTGCCCCTCAGCATGACCACTGCACTGAGTTAGGAGAGGAGAGCAGAAGCAGAGGAAGTGGAAGGAAGAAGTCATTCAGGGGTGTCTTTCCATTTCTCAGAAGTGGCTGGGAGGCAGTCACTTGCTATGCTTGCTCCCTGCACCCCATCAAGCACTCCAGGGCCCCCAAACTCATCTAACAATCTCCTAGGTTTTTCTATTAACATCCACCTTTGGGAGACTGACAATTTATTCCACAAAGAAGCACTATTGTGCCCATATGGGAAGGCTGTACTAGACCCAGGTTCAAGACTGCCTGGCTCTCCAAACAGCAGTGGAACCTACTCAGAAATCCATCCCTTCAACCAACTGACATTTCATTAGCACCTGAAGTGCCAGGAAATTTCTTCTCCTAGGTCTCACTTTCCCAAATGACAGTTTACCCTTTGTTCAGGGGCCTGTGGAAAGGCTCAACTCTGCACTTCAAAGGGATATGAAGAGGACACCCCAGAGGCCAATCGGCATATGGGAATTTCCCCGTTTGCTCTGTAATAGTGCGATATCATGGAAAGTACACAAGGTGGCAAGACAGAAGAGTTGCACTTTAGTGTCAGCTGCTCTTGTTGCACAGGACTTTGGAAAAAGTCCCTTAACCTCTGTGAATGCATTTCCTCATCTGCAAAATGCAGACTATAATATCAGCTTTATTTATTGATGGGAGGGAGGGAGAGAGAGAGAGAAAGGGAGAGAGAGAGAGAGAGAGAGGCTTGTTGTTCTAGTTATTAATGCATTCTTTGGTTGATTTTTGTATGTGCTCAGATCAGGGGATTGAACCCACAACCTTGGCGTATCAGGACAATATTCTAAACAACTGAGCTACCCGGCCAGGCCTGATAATATCAGCTTTGACTATCTCAGAATTTTGAGAAAAATCAGTGAGATGATGAAAGTGAAAGGTCTTTGTAAATTCTATATCCACAGACGAGTGAAGATAATTATCATCACTCATGTAGATAACTCCACTTTGGTTGGCATGTTAAAACTCAGTCATTCTACTTGAAAGCAAAAATAGTATTTGACCTATTATTATAATTGTAAACATATGGTGTGGCAGGAACAGATATTAAGACAGATATAAAAGAAATAGCAAATTTCAGAACAAGCTGACTCCTATCACTTGGCACTGACTACCATGAGCACGGTGTTAAGGAGGCTTCTGTGGCTGGAAGTCCAATTCTCCAAAGAAAGCACGTCATGACTGACTAGCTCTGTCAGCCATGGGCACAGGACATGAGATCATCATCCCATGATAGACATCCCCATTCTTGCTTTCGTCAAACCTCAAAACAATTCTGTGAAATAGATTACACATTCCCCATAAACCCCATCACTAGATTGAAAAATGGCAAAACACTTTACGAAGTAAAAAGCAAGCAACTGTCAGCCATCTTTTGATAGACTGGCAGAGTCTGGAGGGATTGTATGTGTAATCTAGTTTAGGTCCCTTATTGCAGGTACAGAGTCAGAGGCCGAGAGAGTGAAGGCACACTGTTCTCACCTTGTGGTATTAAATGCAATCGTGAATGTGAATGTAAAAGTGCTTTGGAAAGCACAAAGCTACACACAAATGTGAAGTATTTTGATGCGCTTATTAGTCCCTTAATCTGTATGTCTTTGTTTATGCAAAATTATTTAGTCCTGCTCAAAAGGGACTCCCGCCCCCAAATCCAACATGACTTTTTCCTTTTTTCTCATGTTTTACCATTTATGTCTGAAGGAGCTCAATTAACAAAGAATATTAGGGAGGCTTTGAATTAAAACTTACAATGCTGACTGGCAGTATTTTTTGACACCTGTG